ATTGAAGCTAGTGGCGTCTACGGCCCGGCCACAAGCCGCTTCATAAGCCTTTTTAGGTGGTCGTTTAGTCAGCGTGACCGGCGACGCGCGTGAGTCGTCCTGGCTGCGACAAAGACTAGCGCTGGCTGTAGTCCGTGGCAACGCAGCGAGTGTCCTCCATTCGCCATTTCGCTTTGGTCCGGTCCCCTGAAGCATGCAACAGGCAAAACGCGCCTCACTGATCCGGCAGAGCGCCACCAGCTCCACGTTGACCCCGAGTGGGCTACCACACCGGATAACACCGCTAGCCGGTCAGCATCCCTCTCAGAGTCACAGGTCGGCGAGAACATAGAGTTATGCTACACCACCACCAGTCCACACCAGTCCAACAGTCACTCTCCACCACCTCCATCAGATGACAACCCTAGTATATCCGCTCGTTTGGCACGTTATCGTGAACTGTTCAGTCGAATGAAACAAGAATTCACGGCGCAAAGACTCGAGAACATGACTAGCCGCAACGTTATGGCCGATCCAGAGCTAGCCTACTACTTAACGCGAAAAGCAAAGGATCGAGCCGTGGACGCAGCATGTCCAGAGGTTCCAAGAAGGCCGCTAACACCGTGTTGAAGAAACGCCGCTTTGTGAACAAGAAGGCGTGCTAAATGTTCCATCTCTCGTAACAATCATACGCCAGTTTTGGAATTTTGTTGTGCTTTTCACCTGCATAGCCTGAAATATGTGAGTGGGCCACGTAAAAAAAATATGCCCTTTGAACCGACAAAAAAGTTGGGTGTGGACGTCAGATGGTGACAACGTCCCAACGGCGGAGACGGCCAGGCACTCGTCGAACATCAAAGTGTGAGACATTTTGAGCCACGGTGCGCTCATTCAGCTTCACGTGATGCCCCAAAGACGACCGCTAACACAGATTGCTACTGCGGTAATATTCAAGCATAACAAAAACTGGTTGCCGTGAACATAAAGCCATAAGCTTTATGTTCACGGCAACTTATGGCCATAAAGGGTTCGTTTTGGAAACCAAATATGTTGGAAGCCAGGTCACGCCATGTTTAGGCATGAAGGTTCTCCACTTAAGATGTCAAAAAACAGCGCAGCAATGGTGTAGGCAGAATTTTTTGTTTTTGAGGGAGAATGCCTTATGGTCTGGGAACAGTTTATATGCAAATTTAATCGAAAATGTTTATAGCATCCACCGGCAAGAGGTCAATGAAAACTGTCGTACAACCAGTTTCGGGAGACCTGTAAAACAACTGAAGCCATCATCGTCTGGCATTTAGCTACAATTGTCGGCTTATCTTGTAACTAGCGTGTATAGGCCCGGGCAGCGCTTGTCGAACAGCACTGCGGATCCGAAGGTTGGGACTTTAATTGTGAAAACTGCCCACCGCCAAACGCAAACACCACAAAACGCGCAAAACGCACGCCCAAAACGCCAACGCAAACTTCGCAAAAAAAGAAACAATCGCCCGCCTGCCGAAAAACGCAGAAGAAACGCCCGTCCGCCGCAAAACGCAAACACCGCAAAAACGCAAACACCGCCGCCGCAAAAAAGCCCGCATCGCCCGCCGCCAACCGCGAAACGCCGCAAAAAACGGCCGCCCGCCGAAAACCGCAACACCGCAAAAAACGGCCGCCCGCCGCAAACCGCCGCAAAAACGGCCGCCCGCCGCCAAACGCAAACACCACAAAAACAAACGCATCGCCCGCCCGCCCGCCGCCAAATACAAACACCGCAAAAAACGCAAATACCGCCGCAAAAAAACGCCCGCATCGCAAACCCGCCCGCCGCCAACCGCAAAATGCCGCAGAACGGCCGCCCGCCGCCAAACGCAAACACCCCAAAAAAAACGCAAAAACGGCCGCCCGCCGCCAAACGCAAACCCCGCCGCAAAAAACGCAAGCCGTCCGCAAAACGCAAACACTGGCGCATTAATACAAATATGGCGCCTTGCGGCAAGTGTGGTGCATTCATATATATCTGCCCTTTAAATAGCTAGCGTGTATATTGCATGTCATTTCGAAGCTATCCTTATTGAGTATATCGGACGATAAAAAGGAGAAAGTGCAATTATTTTTTCTCTTATCCTATGCGATGATTAACAGTGTTCGGTCAGTTCTGGGACACTGTAGATATGTCAATCGGATGCCAACTTTTCGGTATACTAATACCAGTATAACGCCTTTTGGGGCCACTAACGGAGCGAGCGAGAGGGTGGGCCTTGCACGTGCGAAATCGCGGGGGGGGGGTACCTCCAACTGACTTGTGCACGGCTGACGGCATCCTACTAACCGGTCTCTAGCGATGTGCCAAATTTGAGCACAATCGGCCCAGCCGTTCTCGATATCTGGAAGCGGCACCCTGCACGTGCGCACGTGCCAAATGGGTCCCAACTGACTTGTGCACGGCATCCTACTAACTGGTCCCTAACCGCGTACCAAACTTCAGCGCCATCGGTCCAGCCGTTCTCGAGATCTGGAAACGACCCCTGCACGTGCAGCAGCAGTCCTAGTGGGTGCTTACCTACCTGCCAACTTTCAGCGCAATCGACCAAGTAGTTACCGAGATATTGCAACTATTACAAAAGTGACACCTCTTCGTTTTGCACGTGGCACGTGCATAAGGGGTCACCCACATGCATCGGGAATAGTCCAATACTTGGTAGAAGGAATGAAGCTACACTATAAAAATTACCGCATGTAAATCGGTCAAGTGGTTGCTGACATATAAGCGTCGCAAAATCGTGACCACGGCCGGCCGGCCGGCCGCTGATACTCAGAAATTTCCGTTATTTTACGTAAGACTCCGCTCGCTTCGCTCGCTCCGTAACCATTTGTTATTTGATAGCTACGATCTAAAGTTTTTGATATTTATTGGTTTAACCCTCGCCCGCACATGTCATTTTGTTGCCACCCCCCCCCCCCCCTCGCCATTTCGTTCCTGTTGGAAATAGAGCTTAGCGGTAAAGACCAAAAAGATTCTTTGTGAAGAGACGAATCCAATGATCCCCAGTTTTACCTTCTCAGGTCAGTCATTGACCTTCCAGGTTAGGTCAAACTAAAAAATGTTGCTGTTTTGGGTCACCGTTGGATATCAAGTGCGCTGCTTATCATATACCGATGACGATGCTGTTTTCTGGTGCCAAGCCAGCTAGAACCTCTTTGTCACACTACCCGACCAGATTTTTGCTGCTGAGGTCATTTCAGGTCAAGTTAGGTCAAGGTCAATTATATGTGTTTGTATGTCTGTGTGTGTCTGTGTGTACACTGATGTGTGTACCGATTGTTTTTGTGTCCATATTACATGAAATCATGATCTGAGAAGCTTTTACCAAAAATGCAGTCAAAAAACTTCACAAAAAGTAAATTCAGCTTGCCTAAAACGCAATAATCTTAGATGACCTAGGTTGACCTTGACCCTGACCTTGACACCTGTACATCGTCGAACAACATGTTCCATGATAGGTGGGAGGTAAGAGTCTAAGACTGGCAAAAAAGGCCGAAATCAAGGTGTCAAAAGCTCACGAGGCCCATGGCAAACGCAAGATGTTGAGAATTGGCCAGTTGGGTCATGACATAACCTGAAAAACAAGATCATATCTCCGAAACCAAAAATCACAGAAACTTGAAATTTTCAGAGGACATCAAGAAAGGATAGAGGAGCAGCTATATCAAAAATCAGCTTTCTAGCTTTAAAAATGTTGAGTGCAGAGCAGAAAGACTACCTGGGGGGGGGGGGGGGGGGTGGCAACCACCCCCACCCCCATGTGCGGGCGAGGGTTAAACCTTTGATTAACCTTGCAGGCGGTGGGGGCATTTTTTGCCCCCCTTTAGTTTTTTCGATATATCTCCAGAACCGCTGCGCCGATCGTCACCAAACTTTCAGTACCCTCCCGTGAATAGCTTTTGTACATTGTGACCTAAAAAGTTTCCAAAGGCTATAATAGGTTGGCCGCTAATGACGTCGGAGTGACGTCATTTCTGCCATTTTCGACCCAAAAAAGGTTCCGCGGGAAGAGCTGTCAGGCCTGCAGCTTTAAAGATACAGAAAAATGCTGAAAGGTGTAGAATAAAAAGGGCTACAAGACCGCGACTCGGATTTTTAAAATTTTTGGATTTTGACTAAAAAAAAAATCAAAAATAGGTTTCTTTAATATAACAGCCAAAAATGTTTTGAGATCAATACCTCTTTTTTTGGCCAAGTTGTAGCGAAAAAAAAAATCAAAATTGATGTCAAATATTCAAACTCAATTTTCAGCAATTCTAGAGTAGCGCAAAACAAAGACAACCATTAGACTCCCCGTGGCAAGCTGCATCGAATCAATCCCATAACCTTGACCTGACCTCTACCAGAAAGTGACCTAAACCGTACCTGGTGGTCTTATAACAAACATCATTGAGTTGGAAATGAAAAATTGGCCATGAAACGTGCATCGCACAACCTTAGGGAAGTTGGGTTCATGTGCTGACCTTTGGTGACCTGACCTGTGACCTGACCTGGTATTATCAGTGACCTCTAATAGCATCATATGCACTAGGCAACTGACGCCCTATCGCTGATTCTCGACAAAATGCGTTTTACTCGGTGTTATAGCGCCCCCAAGGTCAATAAAATTTGGTTTCCCATTACAAATTTGACAGGGCTATCTAACTCCGTTTGAATTTTACGGATCCGTCCAGTAGTTTCGGAGATACGGGGGGGGGGCAAAAAAAATGTCCCCCTCCCCCACCGCGCGGAAGGTGGCCGGGAGGCCCACCGCCTGCCGGATTCAGTCTCACTGATGCATTATTTGTTGTGAATTTGGTAACAAGTTATTTCTCTCTATGTTTTACCCAATGTATTTCGTTTAGTTGTATGTATTTTATGTATGTATTTCGTTTGGTTCTTGTTATTTTCCATCGTTCTGGCTAGTCCATAGATATGTGCTTTTGTATTTATTTCCAAAATATCTGCAATTGATATGATTAGTTTGCTGACATTGCACATGTGTCGATTGCAGCACACTGACATTGCTCTACTTACACTCTCCAAGAAGGTGACATTCAGAGAGAACATCCGGCCGATTTGCCTGGTCAGCGACGAGGCGGTCCACTACGCTGGCGACAATGTCACAGTGGCCGGCTGGGGCTCCCTCAGCGAAGGTGAGTACCGAAAGCGACCGTCACCTGTTGTACAGTCGACTACAGAATGATGTCCCACTCCTAAGAAGCTATCAGTTAACCAATTTCGGGTACAACCCTTTATCAATCGCTACAAGTAATATAAAAGCCGTAAAATCACATCTGCCACATTTGCCACACATATTTGCTTTTTATATTTTTTGTAGCGATTGCTAAAGGGTTGTACCCGAAATATATCAGCATACTTGCTGATTTAAATAAAAATAAAACTATTTCATTATTATTTCACATTTTCTAACGTTGAGGATAATTGGTCAACGTTCTTTCATTCTGACCCGGCCTGGTCTAAACGCTTAACGACATCATCTGTGATCAAAACTAACACGATCTTCGTGATCAGCACCCCGGAAAACCCCTTAGCAGCCACACTTTACGACTTTCTAACAGGTCCCAATATTCCCGATTTTTGGGTCATTGACCTGACCTGGAAGGTCACCCGATAACCTAGGACCTTAAAATTGGGTATCATTGGCTTCCTCTCGTGACGGGCAACACGCTTGTTTTTTCCGCGAAGCTCTAGCTCCATCAGGGGCCAAACGCGAAGGGGGGGGGGGGGGTCGTACCAACCCCCCCCCTTGTGCCGTCGAAGGACTCAAAATGGCCTGTCTGTGCCGGCGAGGGTTGATGATTCCCTTTTGTTTCTACAACGTTATTGACCGCAATGCCCTTCACTCAATGAAGGAAACCATATCAGACGAAACTGTGAGTCCTGCTGGGTTGCAAAATTTCCCTACCGCACTACCGGCATGCCGGTAATTTTTCACTACCGCAGGTTTTTTCGTGGTATCTGGCATGTCTTGCTGGTAGCATGCCGGTATTTTTGATTTTGCACAAAAAGAAAATTATCAGCATATGGTTCAAACTTTGGACACTACGAGGCTATTGAATTGTAATAACAGCAATCTTAGCCACTGCAAAATACATTTTGTGGTAGAAGTTCCATTGCTAAGGGTAGGGATAACACATGAACCTCAGCATTTCAAAGGTTTGGCTCTAATTAGAATTGTCAGGAATCTACTGTGGTCTATCAAAGGAAGACAAAGAATACTCATTCATGTTGCAAAAGCACAACCAATTAGTAAGTCTGATGGTAGGTAATAGGCATAATACAATAACTAAAATAAATAAATGTTCATGGCAACATTCCCCAGGCAAAAGGCAGAATCGAAACAACACAAAACACATTGTTTGGAAACTGGCCTTGAGTCCTGAGATGTGGTCTGAGATACTCTACAAAGAATTTGACACTGAAAATCCAGCTGAAAAGGAGGTGTTAGGTAGCCCTGAGCCTAACCAGGGCACTAAAGAGTCGGGTACTCCAAAGTTTTTCCTAGTATATACTAGAATCCTACTATATCATCTAGAAAAACAACTAGAACTGAGAGGTTACAACTATATACCGAAAATTATCCCAGGATATGGCTGCGCTCAAGCGCGGCGCAGCTGGCGCTCGCGTTTCGATATATTGCGCGTAATATTTATACACAATGCGGCCTGTGGTTTCGCGCGGGGTTCATTGGTGTTCTCTCTTCATTTAAAGACTTTAGAGTTAAGAAATGTGAAGTATCAATAACTATCGTATGCATAAAAATCCGCTCTTCATCATGCATGGAAAAGTCTGAAAGGGCTTTCTGGGCAGTTGTGTGCAAATCTACAAACTGCTGAGCTTGAATTTTGATTTCAATTTGGGTGATGGGCCAGCCTCATGCTTTCTCATTCTCTCACTGTTACTTAACAATGTGCTTAAAATAGGTTCAGTGAATTTTATCAGAGGACACCTGAAGACATCTTTCGATTTAACTTGAGCAGTTAGTATAATTGTATTGCAAGGATTGTTTACGCCAGCTTTATCTTGCTCTACTTGCAATGGCTACAGCTTACGAACAATATTTGTGTATTTTCTTTTCTATTTTGGTCGTTTGTATGCATTTTTAGAGCTCTGACAGGCTGACGAAGGAAGACTGAAGTATTCCAAAAGCTATCATTACTAACAAATAAAGCTGGTCTTTTGAACAAACTTAATAATATCTGTCAACAATAACTGTCCCAGTCCCCAGATGAATACCACCAACGTGTAACATCATACTTCGTGTAAGTATCTCGTACAGCTGTGTTGTTGCGATAATGAAATCAAAACACATGCATTCTATATCCGGGTGAAAGTGGATAGTATGTAAAAAGTAGCATTTGTTGCCACTTGTTAGTGATAATCATGCAGCATCTTGTAATTTTAAATTAAGTGAAATAATGTAAAATTTAGTTGATTGAAACTAAACATGGAAGATAATTTTTAGGTCAATTTTTAGTTCTCTTGCCGTTCTTGATATTCCACTTAACTCACATACCAGTTTAAAAGTTATTTCAGGGCTTCCACAATAGCCATGTCTTTGTGGTCAATCATCCTCACAGCAGCCTGAATCAATTTCATTCATTACTTCCCTAGCTAAATACCTCTGATCCTTTTTCAGGATGAGACCTGCACCTCGAACCTCGAGTGAATGCTTCCTCAAACAAAGCTAAACAAAGGTGTCATCAGCTGTATAAATCAGAACAGGAAGGAAGCTGAGCCTTCAACATAGGTGCCAGCTTGTGTGAACTTGTGGCTTTCAGGGTGTGCACCGCCCACCCAGTGTTCATTTCCGTAAACATCAAAAATGTGTGACCACAAAGGGAAACCCTTATGAAGGTAACATCTCTCAACCTTATAGATTCTAAGATCCCCTTAACATTCAACTACCCAAGATTAACAGGTCACTTAAATAACCATGCATTACTCCTCTGATAATGCTTGTCATGTTTTCAGATAGGTACACGTTCTTTCATCCTGATTTTTGAAGCATAAGTACCACCTGAATTTGTTTTTATTGCAAGTGTGATTCGTGTAATTTCATCTTGATGTGTTCCAAGATGATCGTGCTCGCAGCTATGCCTCATTGACTACCATGGCCGAAACTTTTTTGAGAGGGTTACCATAGTGTTCTCCGTCTTATGTGTTGAGGATGAGCTGTATCTTGTGATCAATGTTTAACTTTAGTGTAACACAGTGACATTTTTCAATGCCAAAGTTTATTTGTAAAGAGCCAAAGTTATTTGCATTGGAACGAGCGGTAATGTGATGTGTGGAACAAGTAATTTGCACGATTGTGAACCACTTACTCTGTAACCCAAAGTGGGATGTTTACATATATGAAAATGTTCAGTGTTCATCGTCGATAGATAATAAAAACATAAGCATACCAGTAGATGGATTGGTCGGTGGTCGTCCAACATAGTATCAGAGCTGCAATTTTGACACCATCGTGTTCGTCATGCTCAGCCACGTCGAATGATATGCTTTTTGTATGGGTGAGGTAAATTTAGGATGTTCCAAGGTCAGGTCAAGTCATGACCTCATGATTAGGTCAAGTTGCACATGATTCAGTTCGGCAGGTCTTTCTGAGTCCATTCGTGTCTTTTCCGTCTAAGATCACTGTCAGCGCCAAAACAACTCTTTATTCCCCCTTTGGCTTATAGGTAATGGTCAGATCACCTGACCGACCTGACCTTACGTGACCTTTAGGGGAAATCCGAAGCTAACAACTTTTGAAAATTAGGGAGTTTGATCAGTTCTATAAGTTTCATCTACCTGTGATAGATCTCCTTGCATTGATGGAGTTACGATGTTGCGACGTCTTCGAGACCGTGCAGAGGTTAACTTATGACGCCATAGGTCAGTGACCTGACCTGACCTGAAAATGAGGTTGGTGCCACAAAATCCGGCTTGAATCAAAGGTCAGGTATACCAGCTTACAACTCTCCATCACCAGCGCGCTTACCCCTACTTTGCATTGCAGCCATGGTTTGCCGCACATTTACGATAAAAGTTTTGGTCTGTCCGAGATTCGAACACAGGGCCTTCGGATGTGTCAAAAACATGGGGTCATATATGGACGAATATCTCGAAAACGGTTGGATGGGCTTGAACTTTTCGTCCCAAAAATGGAAATAAAAATGTTGTAGCTATCTTTTAACATACCTTATACGTGGCTGCCCACACTACGAGACCTTGAAAACCGAGCGCAAAAAGTCTCATTTTAACACGCAACCCTATGGGCTAGTAGGAAAAGTCACGCCCATGCTGCCATATGACTTTGGAGGGGGCTGAGCCTAACTTTGGTCCGAAAATGAAATGAAAATAAATTAAACTGGCATTTTGTCTTATCTTTACAAGAAAACACAACATGCAGACGAAATAAATACAAAGTGGCGCAATGTGGCGCAAAGGCAACCAAGGATTGACTTTTAAGATCCTCTGTCCCCTAATGAAAGGATGTAAGCTGATGACGTAATTTAATTATCCATTTGAGTAGGATTTCGGGTTTTTTGAAGCGCTGAGTTTTTGCAGCGAGCTTTTTCTCTTAGGGCTTGCGAGATATCTGCGTGCACACATATCTCTTCAGCATTGCGCGTGACATGGAATGCGGCTGAATTCACGTGCGATTGTGAGTGAGGTACCCCCAGTTGGAAGATTCGGCTGTAGAATATGTAGTTTTAAATACGTAGTTTGACGTAAATCTCGGAAAAGTGAGATACGGCCAGGAATGAGTGTGGGTACCTCCGTCCTGAAGATTCTGATCGGCGCCGATTGAAATAATTCGCGGTGCGTATCTCGGCTTATTGACGACCGATTGACACGGGACAAACACCGATCGATACCAAATGGCTCTGGGGGGGGGGGGGGATAGAGTGGCAAGTTTTCCTACCCGACGAACCCGGAATTATCCCGAGGAGGTAGGGGTGGGAGTAGAGTCGGGGGAACAAGGGGGGCGAGTACAAGTACCAAGCAAGTACCAAGTACTTTCGCAAGTACCAAGTACTTTTACAAGTACCAAGCAAGTACCAAGTACTTTTGCAAATACCAAGCAAGTACCAAGTACTTTGGCAAATACCGAGTACTTATGCAAATACCAAGCAAGTACCAA